ATGACAGAGTATATGGGTTCCAGTGAGGGGGCTGTGGGAGCATGTTGGTGGGGAAGTGAGTACAAAGATAATTAAGATTCTTTGAGATATTCTGTATAAAATACACAAAAAATCAATAAAAACAAATTTAAAAAATGTATTTTATTTATTATTTTTATTTTATGTTTGTGAGTGTATATTGCTTGTATGTATGTAAGTACACTGAATCAATGTTGTGCAATGCCCAAGGTCAGAAGAAGGCATTGGATCCCCTGAAACTGGAACTACAGATGGTTGTTAGCTGCCATATGGATGCTGGGAACTGAACCCAGGTCCTGTGCAAGAATAGCCAGTGCTCTTAACTGCTGAGTCATCTCTCTAGTATTCCCCCTATCCCAGTGGCTTTTGATTGAATTATTCAGTAAGGGAGTGGAAGGGAAGAACAAAAGAGATTGTGATACCTGGAATGTGGTGTGGGGAAATGGGCACACAAAATGAGTTATAACTCGAAGATGTAGTAGTACCTGTGAAGGGAAAAATGAAGAACATGATTTCTCTAGAACTCACAGTAGAGGAAGGGTCTGTATTTGTTAGAGGTGAGGATTCTGAGCTAAGTTGTGATGCTGTGGTTGGGGGGGATACATTGTTAGGAAATATATTCCGTTGGCAGTAACTAGGTAATTTATATGGTCACTTTTATATTTGAGAGGATTAAAACCCTGAAGGGTGTAGGAGATATGGGGAGATGGAATACTATTAGACTAATTTCATTGAAGAGTAAGGAACTGACTTGGACCAGGGGTGCGACAGAGGGCACTTGACATGATCCTTCCAGGTTGCCAGTCAAAGCCTGAGCTGGCTGGTAAAGACCTGTCCTCACATATGAGATGACTGCCGTCAATCTTGCCTCCCACTATTTTGGGGATGTTCTGGATGCTCTGTCACAGTGCATCATCAGACTTTGTGCCTTCAGGACTGGGACACTCCTCTCACCCTAGGAATCTGCCAGTGATAGCTCACAGCTTAGTTCCTCATAATTGCCTAGAGTCAAAGGAAGTTGCCAGTAGTTACATACTTTGTTGAGGGGCAGGCCACATTTGATGATTTTTCTATGAAGGGGCACAAAAACTGAGGCTACCTTGCCTCTCTCAGTTCAGGACAAATATGAATGCCCATTTCAACTGCATGGCCATCTTTGAGATGAGGCCTCTTTTGCAAATGTCTTGCTTGGGACCTTTCCTGCCTTCCTTATCTTGAAGGTTTTGCTCTTGAGATGATGCCCAATGTACCTCCTTATGCAATCTTGGTCTAAAGTCTATTTCTGGGAATCTGGGTTTTAAGCACATCTGGTCCCCAATGTTGATGTTGATCATCTTTTTCTAATATTGATTGACATTCCTTGTTGTCATACATAGAGAAACTAATTCACAAGTAAATATACTTTCCAAAACCACTCTCAGGAAGCAGTTCAGACACAGGCATAGGGGGAATTTAATTCTTTTATGACTATGTCTGATAAAAATTGAAATAAGCTTTGTCACCTGTAGGCAGCAGTTTTATTTTCTTCCAGTGAATCACCTTAGATACCATATAATGAATCACTTCCCATGGGATGTGTATATGAATCACTTCTAGTGTGGTACTAGACTTCCAGGAGAACCGCTTCTATCATTGTGAATGCCAGGCAAAGATGTCTACTTGTAAATAATGTAGATTTTTATTTTTTATTTTTTGGTCTTTTTGAGACAGGATCTCCTTGTAGCCCCAGCTGTCCTGGAACTCATTATGTAGACCAGGCTGGCCTTGAACTCACAGAGATCTGCCTGTCTCTGCCTCAGGAGTGCTGGGATTAAAGGCGTGCACCACCACGCCCCACAAATTTTGGTTTTTTTACATCTATAGGATGCTTAATTTTTTTGCTTTTATTGTTGCCTAGTTGGATTTTTGTTTATTGTGTTGGTGGAGGAAAGATAGAAATAAATTAATTTCTATGCAAACTTTTTGAGAACAGGGTATATAGCATTTGTGCTTAGAGATTTTCTATTGTTTTTTTTTTTTTAAAAAACTTGTGTGTGTGTGTGTGTGTGTGTGTGTGTGTGTGTGTGTGTGTGTCTGTGCATGTGTGTTCAGGTGCACACAGAGGCCACATGAGGGTACTGGGCACCTTGAAGCTAGAGTTCCAGGCAGTTGTGAGATGCCCATTGTGGGTGCTGGGAACTGAACTCAGGTCCTCTACAAGAGCAGTACATGCTATTAACCACTGAGCCATCTCTCCAGCCCTTCATCTGTGCTTAAAATGCAGCAAGATACACAGTAGGTGTTAGTAAACATCTGTTAAAAAGATCGGTAAATAAATAATTACATAAGACTGAACATAAGTCTATAGAATATTGGCAGGCAGCAGACATACTAATAATAGTGTCTGGCACAAACCAGCAACCCTCAGGTATAACAACACTATTCCAGTTGCAACTGACTGAGGTTAATTAAATGTTTGGGGATTTGTTAGAATTTTTATATAATAAGATGGTATATTCTAGCATTGAGTTAGAAGTTTGATTGACTACAAAGAATAAGGGAATGGAAGGATTACGAAGCATGATACAACAGAAATCCAAATAATTTGATAGATCAGTATTTTTGTTTCGTGTATCTAAATACATTCTAATAAATCTCCCTATGTTTATCTCTTCCTCCTTACCACATTTCCTCCCTCTCTCCCCTCTTCCCAAGACCCTGAAAAGCTGCTGTCCCTTTGCCCATTCTTGGCACAAAATTTAGTTTTAAACTTTTCCTGCCTTGATCGTGCTGACATCAGCCCTTAGTCCTCTCACTGGTGGACTGAGGCACTGCTGCTGTTCTCAGGCTTTCAGGATTTGGAGAGATTTCCAAGTATGTTCTGGCTTTCATTTTCCATCATTATTGCCTGTGAAAAACATTGCCAGTAACCTCCTTTGCCAGGGACAATCCCAGGGAGGGACTGACCTAATTTTAGATCTAGTCCATGTCTTTAGACACCCCACAGCCTGCAGCAAATGGGGGCAGCTGGTTGCCCTAAGAAGCAAAGAACTGCCTACAAATACTTATTAGATGAAAGTGATTTGACTATTGATTTGTGCTGGGTGAGGCGATTTCTTGTCATGGTACAGATCTTATATGAGCAAGTGAATGACATGCAAAACTTCTAGAACTATACTGAATTCATGACCCACACAAACCAGCCAAGGAATAACGATATAGTTCAGTATGTCAGTTACCTCTGATGGCCCTGTAATCAGAAAAGACTTGAATGCATGCAGAAATGAAAATTCGAGGAAATATTTGAGTTTAAAAAAGTTTTAAATTACTATATTTTGTCTTAGTTTGAGAAAAGACATATTCTTAGACTAGTTTGTGAAGTCTACAAATGAACAAGCTTAAATAAGTCATGTAGTGAGGGACAAAGCTAGTCAATAAACCTGAGTTCAAAATACCTCAGCAGGAGAGCAGAGGACAGCACCCTGCAGCCCACTTATTCTCCTTGTTCCTCTTCTAACTTGAAACCATTTTCATAATTTTTGACAAACGTCTTTCACACCAGATTTTTGCCAATTAATGTCATATCTCATATATATGGTATTAATTGGCAAAAGTATTGAAAACGTGATTCTATTCTGATTAGAATTAAAGTTGAAAATGGACAGCCAACTGCAAGTTACATGAGAGGCATTTGTCATCTTGTTCTGTGCATTGACTAGTGCTTAGTACACCACCGTCAATCTTTATTAAGGTGACTGGTTTCTAGTCTCAAAGAGCTGACATTGACAGATCTGGTTGTGTAGCAAAACAGGCATAAATAAAAAGTATACGTGACAACAAACAGAAGACATACCAAAAGGCAGTTTGTAAGTACCACAGGAGCTTTATATTATAAAGCATTGACTTAGTAAAGAGAAAGGGAGAAGGTGGCCTCTCATATTAATCAGTCGTAGTGGTTGGCACACCAGCGAGATTGCAAGTTTTAAAAACTACTTTGACTCGCAGCAAAAAACGGAAGTTACAGGTGGAAGTAGTGGGGAGGAGAGGGGAGGGAGAGAGCAGAATCAGCAAGTACAAATGTTGCACAGGAACCTCAGCCTCTGTAGGAGTTTGGCAAGGGCAGATTAGCTCGCCTCAAGATCAAGTTCTATGTGTTTATTGATTAAATTTGTTCTTTAACTCATACATAAAGCATAAGATTGCAAACATTAATGCACACATTGGATAAGGTTTGCACCAGGTTACACGTTTGTCTCCTCAAAAATTTAGCATTTCCACGGTGAAATTCTTGATAGGTGGAGCTGGGGTTGAATTAAGTGGGAAAAATATTTTGAGATACAACTTTCTATTCTTAAAGGAGTGAGCAACTTCTCCTGGGTCTTTTCTTGGTGTGGTGAGATGGAGGTAGGAAATGGGTTTCTAAAACAAAAGACGTTAACTATGATTCTGATGATGGAAAGGAGGAGGAGGATGGGGGGAGGGAGGTGGAGAGGAGGGGGAGGGGAGGGGGAAGGCGAAGGAAGGGTAGGAGGAGAATAGGGAAGGAGAGGAAGAAGGTCAAGACCTCTTTATTAAAAACCCAATGAGTCATAGAAAATTAGAAGACAGTGTATGGCTCGTGTGTGACTGTGGGGGACAGCTGGATGAAGCTTAAGACCATCCCTTCCCAGGAGGTCGCTGGTCTTGGGTCTCTGAACCACGCGGAGGGCTGTTCCAGCACAGCTGGGGAAATGGGTCACGGGTCAGGCTGCAGGAGAGTTGGGTATGTTTAGTTTCCGAGGACATTTGTTTTTCTGCACTCCTGGGTTTCTTCTGAAATGTGGCAGGCGTTAGTCATCGCCGCTTTGCACAAACCCACAAGTGTGCGTGTGTGGCTCTAGGGGCTTCCTCCAGTCCCGCCCCTCCCCGAGAGCCTCAGCGGCCGGCGCGCACTCGGGCCTGGCGTGGCTGGGTTCCAGCCGCTAGCCGGGGGCGGTCCGGCATCCTCCCTAAAAGGCACCGCCCCCCACGGCAACGCGCCAGAGCTCAAGGAAGAAAGTTGTGGAGAGCCGCGGGTAGCTGGGCAGCCGGGGAAGGGAGGCGAAAGAGTAGGCTCCGCTGCAAGTTGGCGCGGCCCCGGCGTGTCCCCGGGAGCTCGTCCTGTCCCTCGGCCCACCGCGCAGCTGGACCGCAGCCCTAGAGAGGAATGGGAGGCCAGGTCTGGGTCCTCGGCGGGTGCTAGAGGCTCTGCCTGGGTCCGGAGAGGAACTTGTCCCGCAGGCAGTGGTCCGGGGCCTGCATTGTCTGCAGCAACTCTCCGGAATCCGGAGGGGCCGGACTGGATCGCGCTTTCACTGGGATTCGTCCAGAGCTCGGGCGGCAGCTGCGAACGAGACTCCCTTTGTCCTCCCAGGACCTCCCTCCCTCCCTCCCGGTGTCAGCTGCTCAGTCCGGCTGACCCAGGCGCGGGACCCCAGGGAGTCCCCGGTGACCCCGCCTCCTTCGCATCTCTGCCCCGCAGAGCCCAAGGGTGCGGCGACCGGAGGGAGCCGCAGGGCTCTGGACGTAGGATGGTGGAGGACCGGTCCCGGGCGCGCAGCCCTGGGAGCTGGCTGTTTCTTGGCCTGTGGCTGCTGGCTCTCGGTGGTCCGGGGCGACGGCTGAACGCGCAGGAGCAGCCCTCCTGCAAAAAAGCCTTCGATCTCTACTTCGTTTTGGACAAGTGAGTGGAGAAGGGAGCTCGGGGTCTCCTGTGAGGGTAACTATTGATCAACTGGACTGGGGATTTGATATGTGTGGGTGGGCACTAGGGAAGGGCGTTGGGAAGTCTCCCGTGGGTGCCCTGCTGCTGTCTCCTTTCAAAAGCCAAACAGCTTTGGATGCAGAGGGAAAGGGATGCTGGGAGTCCAGGGCCACTTGGTTCTCCAGAACTGAAGTGTCCAGCACTAGTTAGTCATGTTGTCTCTTGGGAAATAGGAGTGTGCTCACCTGCTTGGCCTGTTTCCTCCCCGGAACTCCCTCTTACCCTCTTGGTCTAATGCAGACTCTAAAAGTCTGTCTGATTTTGTTCTGATCACAGTACTTTCATGGGAGCCAGGAAAAAAGCCTTAATGTACCTAATGTGGTTTGTTTTTCCTGCGTAAGATGCCTTTTGTTCTTATTTTGAAAAACTGGGTCTTACTCTAAACAGTTGGCAAGAAGGGTTGCAGCCCAAGATGTGTGGGCTTCCTTGACTCTGTTCAGGCACTGAAGTTTCATCTCAGAGTCTACTTTGCTAGGAAAGGAGGCCAGGACCCCCAGCTTCGTGGAACTGAAGAGAAGTGCAGTTCAGCCCCATGCTTTGCTTTTCTGATCAGCTTATTTTCATTTTTCAGGTCTGGGAGTGTGGCAAATAACTGGATTGAAATTTACGATTTTGTCCGCCAACTTACAGAGAGATTTGTGAGGTAGGATGTTTCCCATTCACTTTTCCTGGCATTGGGAAAGGGAACCACAGGGTAGGGTTCCCATTTCTGAAAACTTTTGTAGGGAAAACCTTTCCTGAAATGTAGATTTTAAGGGTCTCATGGCGGTTTGTGGAGGCTTTCAGTTGTTCCTTGCAGGCTTGTTTCATCTGGATCCCAGAAACTTGGCTCAGGCTGTCGGGAAACATCTTCAAATACTATTCCTAATGTCTTTTCCTTTTCGAATTTTCATCTGTTTTGTGTTTCAGTTATGCTTTCTCATAACTTATCACATTAAAAAATAAATTTAGGCTAATAGTATCCATAATATATTTTCAATTCCGCACACTCCTTAGCATTGTAAACATTCACATTCAAAAGGAAAAAGTGTTGGGAAACTTCAAATGAACATGTGTTAATAACCCTCTACCAGAAAAAGCACTTGTGTATGTGTGTTTAAAGGAATGAGTTGTGTTTACACAATGTGTGGGTGTGTGACTGGTTTAAAATGTAACTGCTCTATATATGCAGCAGACTTCACTAGTAAACACTGCTTTCCTCGCCTATAAAAAGCATAGCTGCTATGAAATCCAGCTCACTCTCTGATTTAGAGGTAACTAGGAATTAGTGGCATCTCCTATTCAAAAATAGCCCCAGGACACCATGTTTGTAGGGCTTCTACCCCCACCTTTTTTCCCCACAAGAAAAAGAAAATTCAAGGAGCAAGTGCATGTTTATCAGGATAATGGAAAGGACATGAATAGGAACTGTGTCATTAAATATTGCTTCTTTCAGTCTTGTTAGCCCAAATGTTTTTTTGTAAAACAGGCTTGGATGATCAAAACATTTTGAAAGTCATGTTGCAAGTAACTTCAAACAATCTGTAGAGGCCTAGGCAATCCTTGCTTTCAGTTATTGGCAGCAGTAAAGCTATCCCTATAAAAATGTATGCCTGTCCATACTCAATCATCAGTCTCCTGCTTAAGAAGCCAAGGATAGCACTCTCGTTCCTGGACAGAATCTGAGGTAAATGTTTAGGAAGGAAAAATAAACAAGACCCAGGATCTGTAAATGTCAAAGCAGAGCAGACAGTTGTTCATAAATTTCTGATTTAATCCTAGAATGTGTCGAGAGTGTCATACAGTGTTAATCAAAAGCAATGGATAATTTCAGTTCATCATTTGAAGAAAAAGAAACTCTTATCCATCGAGTTGGTTTGCAAGTTGAATTTCTATAGCATGATCTGTCCTCTGGCTCATGTTTAGTTGCTCAGCTACTAATTGTAGAGTGTAAGAAATGAATACAAGATGACCAGCACAATGCTCAATGCATTTCCAAGTGTACCAGATAATTCTGACCTTCAGCTTGTAGACCTTAGTTTCATACTGTTAGTTTCAGACCTGAGCAGTATTTTCACAGAATTTTCTAGAAACAAGAATGATTCTGTGACATAAATGCCTGAAGCCTGGAAGATAGATGGGAAGGTTGGCAATGCGTAATCAAAGAGTGATTTCTTAATCTCCTTCACATTCCCCTCGTATGCTTTAAGTATGCTTGCTTCAGGATGAGTTTTGTGTGGGCTCTTAGCATGGCTCTGGTCATGAAATCAAACTGGCTACACTCCAGCCCTAGGTATACTTTAGTGTCAATTACTCTGAGGGGCATGGCCTCCTGCAAGAACTCTGAGGGAAGAAGCGTTTCTATGAAAGTATTTTGCATCAGCCTAGACTATTTCCAGTTATTCTCTTTTTTTAAAATGTAAACCGAGGTAGGTCTTGGAGAGGTGTTCTGAGAACTGACAACTACTGACTAAATAAAAATGTAACTTAGACAGTAATGCTAAGCAGAGTAGTTTGGTCTGTTCAGGAGTTCCAAGGGAACTAACTGGAGAGGATCCTGGGAGACCAAGTCTAATGGAGACTCCCTAGCTCTGTCTCCGTATTGTAATATTTCTTTTTTAAAATGTTTTAACTGACTTTTTTTCTTATTTTGCAGCCCTGAAATGAGATTGTCCTTCATTGTATTTTCTTCTCAAGCAACCATTATTTTGCCATTAACTGGAGACAGGTTAGTGCATTATCATTTCAGTGCAGGCTCAGTGCAGATGAATCTTAAAGGCATGATTGATGTTGCCATGTGGTGATTCAGGCCTCTCAGTGGAATCAAACAAATGCACAGACAATTAGGTTTTCTCTAGTAATAGAAGGGGGAAGAGGTAGGAGTAATGTAAAAGAGCAGATCATCTGAAAATCAGTATCATTTTCAAAGTGGAGCCCAGGTCCTTGCCTTGGTGTGTGTTCGCTATTTCTCATCTTCTCCTTCTCTGCTACTGTAAACAGTCCTACAGTTTTCTTAGTGAGATGTAGTATGTTAGTGAAAGAGAAATTTGAAGGAGGAGAAATGGATCTATTTGGATACTTTACTAGGTTCAGCAGACATCCCAGATTTCCAGCCTGAAGTCCAGTGATGCCGAACATGTTCAGCTTTTTAAGGAAACATGCCCATTCACAAACAAGTATACAGACACATATACACAGGCACAAACCTGTGGCTTTCTGGTCCCTTGTTACAGTATTTCATGTAACCCTTTCTAAGCCATTTGGTCACATCAAGCTAAGTTAGAAGTAGTCATTCACATTTCTAAATTATGGTCCTTTTTGGGGGAATAGTTTTACTTACTAGACTATGAATTCTGTCCTCAGAAGGGGGATTGGGGTGTTATTCTTCGTTTTTATGTTTACTTCCTCTAACCCAAAGTGTGAAAGATCTTGGACAATAAATTCTTGTTGAATGACTGAACGAACGAGTTAACATTATTTTGGAATCAACTTTTTCCCCAGTCTATGGTTTTAAGCAAGGAAGATTGCTATACTTTGTTTTGTATGATACGTGAATTCTTGAAAAAAGGAATTGTGAGGTTTTTATTTTTTTTAGAAAATCTCAATTAAAATTCATTGACAGTTATTTGTTGATATTTTAGGTTAAAAAGATGAAAGAAACATAATATTTAAAGGGCGCATGTTTACAGTTCACTGACTTGATTTGGAAAATTATAATTATTTTGCTAAGTTTTCCTTTTCCTGGAGAGGAGCTATCTCTGTAGCTTATGAGTCCAGCTGAGGACTTCAGCCTTTCCAACAGTGTTTTGCCTCATTAATTTTTTTTTTTGGTCTCTTTTGAGACAGGTTCTCCCTGTAGTCCCAGCTGGCCTGGAATTTGCAATGTAGACCAGGCTGGCCGTGATCTCACAGAGATCCACCTGCCTCTGCCTGGGTAGTGCTGGAATTAAAGGCACATGCCACTGTGCCCAGCTCCTTACTTATGTGCACGTGGTTCTCAACAGCATCAGAACAGTTAGAGTTCCTTATTAACCATGCAGAGTAGTTTCCTATGGACAGTAATATAACAGGTTTTAGTTTTATGAAAAGAAATTTTTTCTACTGTCCAGTTTAATTTCCAAAGAATCAGGTTGGGGTCTAGAATGTCAAGGAAGAAGAAAAGAAATTTTAACATTTATGGTGTGTGTATGTGTGTGTGTGTGTGTGTGTGTGTGTGTGTGCGTGCACCTGTATGTATGTGGGTCTGTGTCTATATGTCTGTGTCTCTGTTTGTGTGTGTGTGTGTGTGTGTGTGTGTGTGTGTGCGCTTGTATGTATGTGGGTCTGTGTCTATATGTCTGTGTGTGTGTGTGTGTGCGCTTGTATGTATGTGGGTCTGTGTCTCTATGTCTCTGTGTGTGTGTGTGTGTGCGTGCCTGTATGTATGTGGGTCTGTGTCTATATGTCTGTGTGTGTGTGTGTGTGTCTATGTCTCTGTATGTGGGTCTGTGTCTATATGTCTGTGTGTGTGTGTGTGTGTGTGTGTGTGTGTGTGCCTGTATGTATGTGGGTCTGTGTCTATATGTGTGTGTGTGTGTGTGCGCGCCTGTATGTATGTGGGTCTGTGTCTATATGCCTGTGTGTGTGTGTGTGTGTGTGTGCCTGTATGTATGTGGGTCTGTGTCTATATGTGTGTGTGTGTGTGTGTGTGTGTGCGCGCCTGTATGTATGTGGGTCTGTGTCTATACGCCTGTGTGTGTGTGTGTTTGTGTGTGTGCGCACCTGTATGTATGTGGGTCTGTGTCTATATGTCTGTGTGTGTGTGGCAAAGTACTTAGCGCAACATCAGATTTGTAGAAGGCTCAGTGATTGACAGCTACATACATTTGCCAGGTTCTCTGCTAGGTACCTTGCATATGGGTCCTCCATCACTTTGAAGCTGAAGCGTACCCAAGTTTGCCCAGATCGATAATAGCCATCTGGAGGGGATTTAGATTTTTTATCTAAGGTAGAGATTTTTCCTTTGTCAGTGGTTCAAGCCAATGCAGAAGGTAGTGAACTGGATGGGAGAGAGGCTCCCATTCAAGAAGTAGCATAATGCTGCACTTAAGTTACTGTACCAAGTTTACTTGAGTTTAAAATCCTACTTCTCCAGTTTACCAGCTGATTGGCCAAGGTGGAGTTGCTTAATCTCTGTATGACTCAATTTTTCTCACCTAGATAATGGTGTTGACGATGAAAATAACCCCTACTTCATAAGGTTGTTGCAAGAACTGAAGCTGATGATTCAGTAGAGTGTAGTATTTTAGTATTCATGAGATAAGAGCTTCCGGGGCTGTGGAGATGGTTCAGTCAGATTTTTACCTAGAAGCACAGCAACCTGACTAATGCCCAGATCCTGTATAAAAGCACCAAACATGATAATGTATACTTGGAATCCCCAGCACTGGGGAGGAAGAAGCAGGAGGATTCCTTGGGCTTGTTGGCCAGCTGCCCTAGCTGGTTCAGCAAGCTCCAGCCCAATGAGAGACCCTGTTTCAAAGAATAAACAAAACAAAACAAATGAACAAACTGGATAGCCCCTGAGGCATGGCACAGAAGGTTGTCCTTTGTCCTACACTTGCATACATGCACATAAAAGATGATAAAAACCTTTACTCAGCCAGTCAATTTTTCGTTCTACAAAATGTAGACATAAAATTTATCATGTTGGGACTGGGGAGATGGCTCAGCAGTTAAGAGTACTGACTGTTCTTGCAGAGAACCTGGGTTTGGTTCCCAGCCCCCATATTGTGGCTAACAATTGCTTATAACTCCAGTTCCAGGGGATCTGATGTGCTCTTCTGTCCTCTGTGGGCATTGCATGACACAGGTGCACTTACATACAATATTGTACTCAGTATAAACCCTATAAGACATAAAATTAAGTGAGGTTTTAAACTTTAAAAAAAGATCTCCATTTCATTTTTAAAATACAGTTTCATACAGAAAAATTCATTTTTAATACAATTGACACTAAGATGCACATCCGTTTCTAATGTCTTTATATCTGATTATTACTAGTCATAGTTACTTTCTGAGCTCCTTGGCACCTGAGCATGGATATAAAGTCACCAGGTAGATTTCAGTGGTAATGTTTATCACCTCTACTAATTAACATGACGTAAATTTCCATGCTTCCTCCTCAAATAGAATACATTTTAAAAAAATTTGTTGATTTTTATTTTGTGTGTGTGTATATCACACAGAGCATCCCAAACCATCTTATTCAACTG